GTACAGACAGCCTCATACATATATATATATATATAACTAGCTAATGAAAAGCAAGAAAGATCTGTTAAAGATTGGGTTTTTAGTTCACCTTACTACAGATAAAACAATTTGATGATGATTAGATTTAGTTTAAATTTTGCAAATTAAAAGATCTTTCTCAAGGAGTGAAATTTTCTAGTAACTAGCAGATACATTTAAAATAAATTTAAGAATCAACTCATTGTAAGAAAGTAAACTGCTTAGCAATTTTTCAAATGTACAGTGTAAATAAAAGGTGATGTGTTTAATGGCTATATGATTATATGTTTCTTCTTAGCATTTTACTCATGGCAATAAATATATTCTTTATTAAAAACAGTTTAGTGATCCATGTATGCTGTTTGAGTTGTCTTTTATTCATCATAAATAACCTACGATTATATATATGTATTTGAAAAATATTTATCGTTAATGTTACTAATTTGTACCGAACTTTGGAACATGTAAGTTGTTAGCTTATATAGGACTGTGTTTTGTTTCCTCCAGTATTCCAAACCAGTAGAATTAAATGAAAACGTATTTTTGACTGACACACGTGCCAGTTAAATTTATAATTCTTGTTTTATGAATTTGTTTAGAATATCTAAACATGCTGTTATAACCTGTAGGATCATGAGTTTGGAAATTCTCTAGTGTATGAAATGTGATAGTAGTAAGTTAGCAAGAATAGCATAGATATGATGTATCGTACAGTATATATACATTTTTACCTACTTGCTGTATACTATATATTTATAAGATTACAAATATATCATATTCCAAGTTTCTATTATATTGTAGTAATTTCTTCATTTTGATTTTTTTTAATGTTTATTTGTTCTTAATTAAATTTCACAAATACATTAATATGCATGATTGTGGCCTTTTTCTAGAAGTTGTACTATTGTTGGCTTCATTATTTCATATATATTTTCATGGTGAACTTTACAAAATAAGTCTTGAATATTTCTTTTATTTGGTTATTTCATTTATTTTTATTGAATTTCAAGATATATTTTGATAATTCCATATAGGAATTTAAATGTAGAAAGTGCCTATAAATGAAATTAAAATGTTATTTGTTTGATTCAACATTTCAGACTTCATACTTTGGCACAACACAGTTGTTCAGTTTAGTAATATGTAAACTAATCATCAAACTTAAAGGTGTTTTGTGATGCTTTTTTTTTCATCATTCTAGGCTCAATACTATGGGCCTATCACTATTGGAACTCCTCCGCAGGACTTTGATGTGGTATTTGATACTGGATCTTCCAATCTCTGGGTTCCATCAAAGAAATGCAAGACAAGCAACATTGCCTGTTGTATGTTTTCTCTTCTAAGATAATTGACAATGCATATTGTGCTTACCTTTCAAAAACTTTCTAAGAAAAAAAATGCTTTGCCTCTGATTTGAAAAATAAATATTTGGTGTGATTTTGTGAGTTTTATAAGATTAAATATATATAATTTTGTGTTGAGGCACAACAAATTTTATTTTTCAGCTGCCTTTGTTATTTTGTTATCTTAAAAATTAGTCAATTTGAATACAAATGTTAGCTTGCGAGGAAACAAGAATGATTAGAATTTTTGATATTAGTAATAAAGACAAAAAGATTTTCAGAACTTGATTTGATGTTTATGTGACACAAGTGAAATTGTATAATAGTCGTATAGTTTGAGAATTGTTTTAAACGTTGATTCAGTGTAATATGAATGTTAAAATGAGTTACTATAGGCCTGATATTTAAAAAACTAGCACAAGGTTTTCATGTACTTCTAACAAAGGGAACAGGGGAGATATTTGAAATATTACCAGTTTATTATTACACAAAAGTTGTATTTTTATTAGCTTTTCAAAGTGGTCTGTTATGTTTCTTTTGTTTTAAAGTAACCATAATCAAACTATAACAAAAAAAATAATTTTTAGTTTGTTCTTCATTAAAACTTGTATAAATGCATGTTCCATATTAATCAGTTTTTCATCTTTTTATGAAGTCATTTCATAATTCATTTATATTGATACATATTATTCAGTCATGTTGGGTCTATATATTCCTATTCATATTTTTCATCATGCATGTGGATAATGTGATTTTGGTTTGATTTGTTTAGTGCTTCACAAGAAGTATGACAGTTCTAAATCAAGCAGTTACCAGAAGAATGGCACAGAGTTTTCCATTGAGTATGGATCTGGTAGCTTGTCAGGAATTCTTAGTACTGACGTTGTAGCCATTGACAATGTTGAGGTAAGACAAAAAACAAAATATTTCATTGATGTATTTAAACATGATAAAATGGTTGAAATTAAAAAAAAAAAGACAGTTTAATTATTTATTATTAGCTTTAAGGCTAACTTTGACCCCTTTGTTTCTATGTACATAATTGTTTTTGTCTAGGGACCTGTCTTTAGTGTGTTCATGTACTAATGGATGTTATTCAAAAAATGTTGTTTTTTTTAGCATCTATTTAATTTTAAAATTTACTAAATCATATATAGAAGTAATACCAATCTGACATGTCAAGTTTGCTCATGACTATATTAAGATCAGTTTGTAACATCTTGGAGCTTGATTTACTCCAGGATTGTATATGATCAACTAAGAAAAAGAGATGCAGTCAAAATGGACAACATTATAAAATCGACATACTGTTATTACCGACTACTGTTTGGTTGCCTTTATCACTGTCTTGGGTATTTATTTTAGTGGAGGATTTTACTCTCCAATTTTAGTTTTGAAATATGTATTTCTCAAAACTCTTCTGTTAGGTTGATTGTTTCACATCTAGTTACCAAGGGTAAGAGGGAACAATGAATATAGTGTACATGTATGTAAATACTCATGTCAAGCAAAGTTCTCCAAACTTAATAGCAGTCAGGTTGAATTCCAAGTTTCTAGTAATCAAATTGCAAAGAATGTACTCATTTGATATCACAGTGAGAATATTGCAAAGATGGCTTGGCACTGACTTAAAGCAAAAGAAACCTTGAAGTAATGAACAACTGTTTACTGTGTTTACTTTTGTACTCCTTATATGTTGACTCTGATATTTAGTCTCATAAGTTTTTTTTTAAAGCAGCTCACTCAGATTCAAATTAAAACAGAAAAAAATATGCAGTATAGGACAAAGCAATGTGCAAGAGTATTAACAAAAAGAGATTGGTTAGTGAATCAATAAGATATTCTGAAATTAACAGATTAAGAAATAACATAAAATAGAATATGCATTCAAAAATAATACAAAAATTAAAGACATATTTCATTATAATAGCTGCTTATCAAGTTAAAATGATTAAGTGAAAACCTTTTCTCCAGTTTTAAAAGGATAATAAACCATTCATGAAGTCTGGTATTCAAGTTGAAGAAAGGAAATGAAGCTTACAGACTTCAAAAGTATTGAACATTGTAAGATGTGTAATTGAATAAAATTAAATTTAATGCTGTTTAACTTCACAAAATTAATGATGACACACTTTTATTTTTATTTTTTTCTTAAAACATCTGAAATTTTAAAGATAAAACACGAACATAACAACAGGAAGTACTTATTAGATGTTTCAGAATAGTCATAATTCCATCATCAGTAATCTAGGATTACAAAACAAACAAATAATATTTGTAATTACAACAGAAATATATACCTAAGAAATAAACAATTTGAATATACAAATATAACACGAGAAAATGAAAACTGAGGTACAAGTGAAATAGTTAAATTAGGTTTAAATCCAGTGAAGATTGTGTTATTTAGGGACGGGAGAAGAGTTTTTATGTATAATGTTTCTTTTATAAGAACTTCAGTATCATGTTTGGCTATTGAAAGAATTTTAAAGTTTGAGAGAGAAATTGGAGGTCCTGTTTCTGCATTGTGTTGATAGATAGCAGAGTTGGGAGGGTTTGTAACCTTTCTTCCAGTTTTTATAGACGTGTCCATGTGTTCACATGCTCGTACTTTAAGGTGACACTTGGTTTCCCCAATAAAGGAGGTCTTACAGTCTCCACATGTGTACAAATAGATGATATGTGGGCAGTTGGCAAATGATCTTTGTAGTGGAAAAAATTTTTACTCTAAAGTTAGGTTTCATAATGATTTTCAGGTCAATTTGGGGATAATAAGTGTTACATAACTTTTTCAACTGTTTCGTGATAAGGGAGCTCTGTCTCCCAAGATATGGTAAGCAAGTGTATAAGGCAAGTTTAGGTAAAGTGGGAATCTCAGATGGTTTGGCAAACAAATTATTAAGGAATGAGAAAGTTATTTTCTCTAAGAAATGCAAAGCAACATTATTCTCTATTCCTTTTCTGGACGTTCTTGTTAACCATGATGCTAATGGCTTTTCAACTTCTATCTATTGTAAAAACACATTTACTAGCCTTTTAACTCTGTTTGACAGTTTTAAACCATTCTCTTTCAAATGCAATCTTATTCTCTGTCTACAAAAAAGAGCCTATGAATGTACCTAATCCTACTTAGCCCTTCACAAAGAAATTACTTCCATACAAAACATTCTCTTTCGAAACGTCTACCCTATGCATTTCTTGGAGAAAATAACTTATGGCTTAGTTACTAAGCTTGAAAAATTATAGTGGAATTCTGTGGTATCAGTATAGTAATTTATGATTTTTTGGTTACTCAGATGTGTATATAAAACCTCAAAAAAATTCATTTCATATCCTCCATGTGCGAAATTTCTTAAGGCTTAGCAAGCTACAACAAGCAGCAACTGTGTATAAAGGTCAGAACTAAAAGAGATAATCGTTCGCTTTACTCCTTTATTTACTGTATATGTCTTAAGAAAAATAAGTTCTTAAACTTATTTGTAAATAGTAATAATCCGTATACATATATAATGTATAATAATTGAAATGTGACTGTATTTTACAAAATACTAGTCCACTAAAACATGGCCAAGACAGGTCACTTTTTAGAGACTAAACGTCAGTTTTATATTATTGGATATGGTAACATGAGTGCATGTGTGCTGCATCATTGTAACT